AGTTCAGGAACAGAATAATACTTATAAGGATAGTTTCCAAAGTGATGTAAATGCAATTCAATGGAGAAAGGCTACTTTTTTCAACAAATGGTGCTAGAAAACTCCATTTTTAAAATGAGAGAGAAAAAAAAAAGAGCCAAAGGAAAAACCATAAAATGAACAAAAGATATGAATGTGTATCAATAAAGAAGATATACAGAGAGCAAAGAGCACGTAAAATGGTGTTCAACACTATTAGTCATTTTGAAAAGACAATGTCAAAATCAGATGTCCTCTTGCTCCTTTCCCTCCCTTCCTCTCACTCCCTCCATCCCTCTAGAATGCCCAAAAAACTTTAACACTGGTTGTACCTAGCAATGGCAATTAGACTATCTCTTGCTGGAAAGATAAAACGGCACAATGTCTTTGGAAAACAGTTTGGCAGTCTCAAACAGTTAAACACACACCTGCCATATAACTGAGTCACTGTGCTCTTGAGTATCCCAAAGAATAGAAAAACAAAGACTTTTAAATGAACATTCACAGAAGCTTTAATTTGTAGCAATTGAAAACTAGAAATTGACCAAATATGCGTTAAGGATGAGTGGATAAATAATGATATAGCATACAAGTTATCAGTAATAAATGGAATGAGCTACTAATATACACAACATGAACTGAACTCAAAATAATTATGGCCAGTGAAAGAAGTCAGATAAAGAGGACATCCTGAATGACTCTGTTTGTATGAAAACTCTTAAAAATGTAAATTAATCTACAAAAAAGATCAATCATCTGTAGTTGAGAAAAATTTTATCTAGTAAGTGGGCAAAAGAAGACTGTGAGGACTGAAAGATTACTCATCATTTGCACACATAATCCAAATGCATCAAAATACACATTCCACATATAACCAGTTCAGTATATGTCCTTTTATGTCAGGAAGCCAGGATTTTAAAACAAGTCTTTCATTCTAAAATAGCTCCTAAAATGGTCTCTGCTTTGCTGGCGGAACCGTGACTGGCCCAGCCCCATAAGTGAGATCTCTTTATCGGGTGAAATTTCACTCTGGGTGTACATTCTGTCCCCCAAGATCACAGATCTTTAAATCGAAGCACCTGTGCAGATACATTCCCTCATGGGGTACACAGTTTCATGTTTCAGGGAAATGAACCGCCTGTGAGGCTTAATAAGCCAAACATCTAGATTTTTAGACCTTCACCTTCACATTTCATTGCTTCGATTCTCTGCACCACCGTAAACAATCAGCACCTACACGGACTCCTAAGCTTCTGTCCAGTAACACCTACATCCTGTGTCGTACAGTATCTCAGTCAAGTCTGTTAACTTTCCAACTACTGAAGTCATCTGATTTTACTTGCTCTCAAATAAGATTCTTCAAGCTCAAAGGACCTATAGGTTTTTAATGGCTTCTAACAGCCTAACATCAGGAGTGGTTCTACACCATTGTGACGAGGATCACACCACATACTCTAATATTTATAATTTGAAACCTCTAAAAACTATGTTTAAACCTCACGAGCCAGACAAACCCACAAATGTCTGAGAAACACTAGACCTTCCGCATTCAACAGCAAAGAACTGAAAAGAAAACGAGGAAGATGGGCCTGAGCCATGGCTTTGGAAAGAAGCATTCACTACAGGGGAGTGATGAAATGTAGTTCTTGAAATGGGCCTAGAATTCCAAGGTGTGGTATTTAGGAGAACTGAGAATTTATGCATAGTAGTAGAGACTGCTCTTAAGGATATTCAGATGCTTTCAATTTTATGTTACTATTTGTTTTCTCTCTCTCCCTCCCTCCGCCACTTCCTCCCTTGACAGAATTTTGCTATGCAGCTGAGGCTGGCCTTGAACTCCTGGCAATCCTCCTGCCTCAGCCTCCTGAGTGCGGGAATTATCATGTTTGCTGTTGCTATTTTTTTGTGTGTATGGCCCAGTGTGTATATATGTATGTGTGTGTGTGTGTGTGTGTGTGTGTGTGTGTATATGTAATCAAAAAATATGGCCAATGTTTAAAACTTCAAATACTTATTAGTGTAAAAAACACTTCACCAAGAATGAAGGCATACATGTGTTCAAAGCAAGGGAAAGTATTCTGAGTACTGAGGGACAGGACAGGAGAGTTAATGACAATGTGTCTTTATCACAATAAAATTTTAAAATTTAAACATTAATATCATTTTATACTTTTATATTAAAAGAGTAAATGATAACAGACCTTTGAATTTAGTATGACTATTAGTTATTCCACAACAAAATTACAGTAAACCGAAACTCCATTTAAAGGTAACTCTAAAGCAGTTGAAAGTGTTACACTGACTGTCAAAGTGTGTGGTATCCAAAAGGATCAGACAATAACTCAGTGGCCAGGACCTGAAAATGGCCTTAAGTGCTGGAACAGGGCTACACACAGCAGGGCCTCTTGTGTGAGGAAGGGGAATGCGAGCCTGGGTCTGGACGTGGTGGGGTGGGGGTGGGGGGAGGGCCAGGCTCTGCAACCTCTTGCTACCAACACAGACAGAGGGACTGGGATCCTCCTCACTGGCCTGTGCCTCCTCCCCCAGACTAAGCAGCACTTCCTCTCCTGGGGATGCACTTGCTGACAGCAGAGATGGGGCTACACAGTGTATCATTTAAAAGCATCATGCAAATTGACAAAATCAAAACGAAGAAGTAAATTCAAACAGGACATTTTTTGGCTCTCCTCTGATCAGGTGTCCACAACAGCAGGGGGGGATGTTATCCTTGACAAAGACTCAAGGGTGGTCAGAGAGTCTTGTTCCTGTGCGGTCCATCAGGGAAAGTGATTTGCTTACATCTGTGCCTTAAGAAAAAACCCAGTACAGTACTTGATGTCAGAAACTAAACAGGAGAGATTCAGACCTTCTGCAGGGATTGCGCGGTGCCTATGGCAAACAGCTGAGTGAGACAGGTGCCACGCAAGCCTTGCAATTATACCCCAGCAGTCTCATTTTATTAAGCTTATTCTAATTTTGGAAATTCTCTGAGAAAGGGTGCCATTTGTGACACTTACCTTGGTTTTGAAAACAATTAGCAGAAAGAAACCAACTCTGAATTCAGGATTCCACAGGTGACAGTTGTACCCTACTTCTCAAGGTTCTTAATTTGTGCTCTATTTTCAGAAAAGTAAAAATGGAAAGTCATGTTCTGGTGTGCCAGCAGTTGTCATGTAAATTTAGCAAACTGAATGATAATAACTGAATTACCTTAAGGGAAATGTGTATTTTTGAAAGACAAAGCATGTTTAATAGTAATAAGCAACGAACTACAGAGCAAAGCTGATTTGTGAACCTGTCTCACCCAGTTCAACTAAAATTACACACCAGTCAAAATAAAAGATGATTTATATACAACATTTTGGTAACAACTAAGCCAACCTTTTCCTGTTGGATCAGATGTAAGATTCCTAATTCTATTCAGAATGGCATCCAAATCTCACTGGGAGATAGTGTGTGCACCATCCAATTTCTACTGAGGTATGGTGGAGACATGTTTTGTGAATGAGCTAGCACTGTTATCCTCAGTAAATGATCTCAGTAACAGCTTGGTGTAAGTATGTTTTTCTGAGCCAATACAAAAGCTTTTCTCTTAAATGAGCTATCAAAAGGCTTTTTCTACCCGTTTAGTTGAGAAGTATGCTTTCTATACATCCTTTGAGTCTAGGCACTCTAACTGATGAACGCATACAGTACTTCTGTATTTCTGAGTGTTTCAGGACATCTTCAAAGTTCTGTACTCAAGCATGGTCAACTATCACAAGAGTCCCTTTTCCCAGGACACACACCATCTACACTGTGGCCAGATACAAAGCTCATGCTTTGGAATCTGATAGTTTCTGATCAAACACTAATAATGGTAAGAAGCTGGGCAAATTAATGGCCCCTAAGTCAGTTTCTGCATCTAAAAATATGGTAGTATATGTAATTTTTTTTCTTTTTCTTTTTTTTTTTTTTTTTTGTGTAGGGAACAATTAGAGGTAGTATATGTAATTAATCCTAAAGAGTGGCTGTGCTGAGGCATCTAGCGATAGCGGACATTTAGGCTGCTACTGCTACTGCTTCAAGGGTCCCCCTCCTTCACATTGAGCACTTACAAAGCCACACAGAAAGAGGTGTGGCTATGACATTCTCCATCTGAGAAGGCACTCAAGACCCACACAGGGCCTTCTTTATAAAATGGGATCTGCATATCTCATTCTTTACATGAAAATAAACTCCAGATGAATGAAAGAGGGAAGGAGGGAGGGAGGAAGGCAGGAAGACATTCAAACACTCTAAGGAACTGTATAGCTATTTTTTTCCCCAACTGAAGAGTGAACAAACTCTTTCTAACTAGGATATAAACTCAAAAGCCATAAATAAACAATGGCTCTCAATGTGACTCTATGAAATCTTTTTTATTTATTTAGTCTTTTGGAGTCAGGGTTTCACTATGCAATTTAGGCCGGCCTTAAACTCACTTTGTAGACTAGCCTGGCCTGGAACTTGTAGTGATCCTTCTGCCTCAGCCTCCCAAGTGCTAATAGAGGCAGGTGTCACTACACCTCATCGACTGTATGCAAGCTTTAAAACAGTTACTATAGTAAGACTTACCAAGAACAAAGTTTTGCTACGAAAAAATACCAGTTATTGGGCTGGGGATCTGGCTCAGTGGCGTAAGTGCCTGTCTGGCAAGTGCAAGGCCCTGAATTTGATCTCCCCGATCCCTTGTACAAAAAAAAAAAGTCATTTATATCAGATAGTGGTAGCTTCCACCTTACATAAAGAGCCCCTGTAAATCAACAAGACCAACAATCTGATGAGAAAAGGGGTAAAGGAAATGAACAATTCACAAAGAAAAAAAGATAAAATGTAGTTAACAGAGTACTGTCAAAGGTGACAGGAGAGAAGGCATTCACTTACTGGTAAGACTAATACTAGTACAGTCACCACAGAGAAGAATTTGGTAGTTATTTATTAAAATCAAAATATACAGTCTTACGGCCCTCAATCAAGGCCAGCAATTTTCTGAAGCTGCTGGTTTCAAGCAAGAGCCTAAAGCAGTATCTTTCTATGGTCTGTTGATAACTTCAGAACTTTAGAAATGTAATGGTCAATTTATTAGAAACAAACAATTCCCCCACCCCAACCCCGCAACTCTGGGCTGGAGAAGACCCAACTGACCTCCCTTCTACTGACCTGCCTCCGAGCTGCCACTGCTGCAGAGCCAGAGAAAGGGAGGCCATGCCCCTCCACGGGCCTACTTCTGAGGGCTGGAGGAGGGGAAGCAGCTCCCCCAAGGCCTTGCTGCCATGGCAGGTGGGGAACACGGATTAGCAGCTGCCCTGTACCTCTCCGACACTCCAGGACACTCCAGGAATCTCGGATAGGAGGGAAAAGAAGCAGGGTGCAGTCTCAGACCTCCAGCCCACCCAGAACAAGGCCAGAAGACATAGACACAAAAGAAATTAGAAGTCACATGTGTGAACTTTCTGAAATGATAGCAATTGAAGTAAAGACACAACTTAGTGCTTACTTTGCAGGCCTGTGTCTGATGGCCAGAGCATCTATTTAGAAGACAACAATGTGCATTATAGTGACTGGTTGATTTCCTACTGTCTTGCTTTTGAAATTGAATGTTTCCATTGTTTTGTTTTATTCTTCTTAAATAAAAAAAAAATACAGTCTTTGACTCAGCTAGTTTACTTCTAGGAATTAATCACAGGAAAATAATTATACCACAATGTGCATTACAGTGACTGGTTGATTTCCTACTGTCTTGCTTTTGAAATTAAATGTTTCCATCGTTTTGTTTTATTCTTCTTAAAATAAAAAAATATATAGTCTTTGACTCAGCTAGTTTACTTCTAGGAATTAATCACAGGAAAATAATTATACTTGTGGAAAATTACAGGTGCAAAGGACATTCACTGCAACAATGTCTGTAACAACTTAGGGTCAGAAAGGGTCTGTATTTTAGCTACATAAGGATACTGCCATTATAAAAGAAAACACTCTTTGTGCTCATGAAGATAGTTCTTCCAGGTATATAGTTAAATTTTAAAATTTAGTTAGTTGGAAACCAAGTTGCAAACCAAAACCAAAACCAAACAACACTATTGCGTAAAACAGAGTTTATTTGTAATTATACATGAATGTAGGCAACTTAGAAGGAAACAAAAAACTAATACTACTGTGTCAGAGGAGGAAAAGCCAGGGGCTGTAGATAGCTAAGTATCTTTTTTAACTAGACAGTTTCAATTTTAAAATGACAATATAGCAAAATGTAAACACTAGGCAAACCTAGGTAAGAGTATACAAGATTATTTCTTATAATTCCATGTGAATATGCATAAGTTACTCTCACAAAATAAATTTAAATAGTGAAAAATGATTCATTTTTCTTAAATGAGTAACAAAATGGATTTGGAAGTCAAGGGAACAGTGAACACAGGAATGCCATCCAGACTTCAGAAGACACACACCTAAGGCTTCTCTACCAAGGCCTAGGAACCTGGGGGAGAAGCGTCCATTTCCCCAGGAGTCTCACTCCTCCTTGGTTGCTGGCTCACACACCTCATCACAGCAATGGCTATAGTCCTACTTGCTACTTGTCCCAGTATAGTCACAAAACCTCCCTTGCATCTACCCATTCAGTTCAGTCCTCTTTTATTCCTGACACGTCATTATTTTGCATACAGGTTTGAAGCGGTAACTTCAGATACTCCCAAACATAAATATGCAGACTGTTCCAAATCATCCATGGTAGAATTAAACCTTCCTCCACAATGAGATGCAAACGGAGATCTCTAGAAAGTTTCAGTGATTACCTATTTTTACCTCCAGGAGAGGCTGTATCTGGGTGTAAAGACAGACTACTGCACAGGCGAGCTGGTCAGGAGTCTCCTAAGACAGTACCTCCTTTATGCTTTAGGAAGAAGCACCCTGCCTCCTAGAAACATCTTAAAATGGGAAAAGAGATAAATGAGCCAGGACACTTTAACTTTAGCACCCTAGCCATTAACATCCTTCATGTATTTCACCTCAAACAAGGACTCCCTGCTCCTCCCGCAACCATTTAACTCTCATACACAGAATACCTAGGCTAGCAGCAGGTGTAGGCAAAAAGCCCAGGGGAAGACTTGGAGCAAGTGTGAGCGGGAAAGTACAGACAGAAGGAACCAATCAATAAAGGGGACAAGCAGACAGCCAATAGAATAGCCTTCCCTCTCTCCGAATAGCTGCAAGAGAAATCTCCAAACTAAAGCCTGCATTTATCTGGCTCCTGTGCACTCAATTAGAGCAGGAACACCGCTCTTACATCAGTTAGACACTCAAGCTAAACACTTTTAAAGTCTATCTTAGAAGCCCAGAAGTGTACTATAGCCAAACAACTCATAAGCCTCAGAAAAGGAAACAAAGACCCTAACAAAAAGAAATCTCCTGCTGTGCCGTGTCAGAGGGCACAGTGACAGAAGAGTCCTCCACATGCAGATGGGCCTCAGACACAGAGAGAAATGGCACAGGGACAGCAGAAATGGGGCGCACGCAGGTACTGGGACACCTTGGAGGGATGCCACCTTCATCAAGAAATCTAAAGCTTCCCAAAACAGCCACGCCTTCTACCGAAAGCCCATGAAATGGGGCATGTGGGCTCAGATTTCCAGTTGTTTGCTTCCTTTACATGACTACTTTAGTGGTATCTTCCTTTGCTCATGCCATGCTGAACCCTAACCAAATTAGAGCAACAAGTCCAGTCTTGAAGAGCTAATGGCTGCTTGGCTGTTCAGCAAACACACCTATTTCCTTTTTCCTAAAACAAAGGCTTTAAAAGGGAGGGAAAATGAAGAAAGAAAGCTCAGTCACACTGCCCGCCAATTTTTAACAACTCAGGATTTGTACAATGAAGTTCATCTTTTGCTAAATACATGCATACACTGACAGGAAATTTAACACCAAATACTAAAAGTAAACTGTAAAAGTACCAACCCCAAAAGGTAAAACAATTTTTAAGCTGCAATGATTTAAGCAAACACTTGAACACATACTTACAAAACTATTTACAGTCTCCAGCAAAGTAGATTTGCACAGACCCTTGGCCCCCATCTGCCTTCTAAGTCACTCTAAAAGCAAACTGCATGGGATAAACCCCACTACCAGGCCTTCAACCCTTGCTCCAGTCTTCAGTTCTGGAATGCAGCTACAGGACCACTGTGGCCAGTGCACGGCTAGCAAGAATCCCAGATCCTTCAGTAAGGAAGCCTACGATACATTCTACAACCAGTGGAGACAGAGAGTGAGGAGAGACCAAGGCATTCAGCTAAGCAAGTGAAAATGCCTGCCCCAAAAGCACTACCTCACAGGCACCATGGCAGCAGTTCTCATTGCAGTCATAATTTGGTGCTAATAAAGTTCCTCAGTGTACAAAGGATTTAAGATCAAGGGTTTCTCTCTTAAAAAAAAAAATAAATAAAAAACAAAACTAGATTTCCCCCTCGCTTTCACCTAGTGCCCCCTGCGGGCCACAACTTGTTCTGGATACTCCAGATAGAGGAGAAAAGAGACAAGCTGTTTACATTGAGAAATAGGTATTGTACCAGCCGAATAATGATTTTAATAGTGATCAATACAATGAAGAAATAGGGGTCAGCAAGAGAGGGCAGGAAACCGGATTCTTTTGGATAAGGTGCAGGTCAGGCTTCTGTGAGAGCTGGCCTTTGAAAAAATTCTTCCAAGAAAGAGCAGTCTAGGGAAAGATAAGATCTGGCCTGAGGGCACAATGTGGCCTGTGGAGGCCTGAAGCACAGGAACTAGTCCTGGAGCCACTGTGGACACCAGCTTGGAGGCCATAGCCTACAGGAGGTGTTAGAAGAGGAGGTGTGTGTGGGAGGCTGGGCGCGCATGCCATGAGAAAGCCCTGTTGGACTGCAAGCAGAGAACCTCCAACCTCCTCCTGCTGGACCTCCCGGGTCCTCATTCTTAATTCTTGTACCTTTGGTGAGGTTATTTCCACTTGATAAAAGCAAAGGCAAAGGTTTACTCCTTTTAAAGCAAGTATTTAGAGCCAGGAGTCACTCTAGCCCTGGGAACACAGAGGTGAATCAGACACAGCCTGTCTTAAAGGGGCTTAGCCCCAGTCTCCTGGGGGATAACAGGTAAGCAAACAAAATGCAATGGGATAACTGAAATAATAAAGGTCTGCTTGACCACTCAGCAGACAGCTGCCTTTGACAGCACCTCCACTCTAGCAGGAGGGTAAATTTATGATGTCACTTGTAGAGGCAGCCTGAAAACTCAAGAGGCAGGAAAATCTGTTTCTCAGAGTGCCCTTGAAAATCTAATTTATGCTTGTGGCTCCTCAAAAGTGTCCTGGGAGTCAGGCATGTAATCCCAGCACTCTGGAAAGCAAAGGCAGGAAAAGCAGACAATCTGGTGACTTAGCGAGACCCTGTTCCAAAATAAAATGGCCTGGGAGGTAGCTCATTGGGAAGGCCTTAGATTCAATTGTAGGTGCCACAAAAAAAAGTGTCCTGGGACAGACAATAACTTTTCGGTCACTCCATCAGAATCAAGCCTCCGGAGGTTGGTTCAAAAAAGCCTGCCACTCATGCAGCCTAACTTGCCTTATCTCCACCATGTCTCCCCGAACAGACCTTCAAGTGTCATTACCAGAACCTACCTGTAATTTGTTACCTTTTGCCTTCCTCCTGTCATTCTGTGCCACTCATGTTTGCTCCCAGAAAGGCACTTACATGCTTACTACAGGGGGAAAAAAAGGCTGTACCACGGGCCAATAAGTCTCTCACCCACAAACTCTGCCAGGAGTGCTTTCTCTCCTCAATTCCCACCACCATAGTAGTCAATAAGGTATCATGTAATAGGTTTTAAAAAGTAATTTCCATGGCAAGCTCCAGGTCTTGAGTTTGATCCGAGTACTACACAAAAGAAGAAGAAAAAAAACTAATTTCCAGGTTTGGGGGGATGGGATAGCTCAAAGGCAGAGCACTTAATACTTGCCTAGCACACTTGAGGACATGGCTTTGATTCCTAATACCACAAGGCAAATCAACCAACCAACCAACCTAGCATTGTATTAGGTCATCGTCCCTCAGAATATTATACACCCTGTCAAAATAA